TACTCAGATAACTCCTGCTAAATTTTTAGAGTGCAAATTATCAGGAGTTTGTAAAAATAGATTTGTTAGAGTAGGAATAAAAGTGCTAGTAACATTTCACTCAAACTTAATGGATCATAGATGTTTTTCTTGCTAAGTAATGATGATGTCAGGACAGAAATGGGCACATCAGAATATATATTTTTTTATATCCTGTTAATTTCCAGCATGGACATAACTATCAACATATGAAGGCTATTACTAGGAACATTTGGGGAGGAAAAATTGAGGTACGCCTTCTGACTCAATTGAAATTCAGTGGCCAAAGGACGCATGAAAAACTTAAAATATTTTGCTAAAATACAGTGACTATCTCTTCTGCAGTAAGAGACACTTTTTGTGTGCACTTCTGTTTTTATGCATCATATATACTGAAAACATCGCAGTGCTCATTATTTTACTATCTGCATCAATTGTAAATAGTTGATGCTCTTGCCAAAAAGGATTATGTAGTAATAGGAAAATATAGTAGGTGTTTTAAAGAAGAGGTTTGTGAACAGACACTGATGCTTAACTCTTATCTTAGTTTGATTTAGTGAAAATATTCTCAGGCACATTGCTATTGCTTGTGTGTTTTAATTTGTAAAATATGTTAAGTTCTTTGTGTTCTAGAAGTTTGCTAAAGCATAGACTGCCAGTAAACTAGTAGCCTCTCATACTTGCTATATGATCCTGAAAACTCAGTTGCAGTGTTTAAACAGTTGACTAGTCCTGTCAACATCTGGATCACAGGGAATGTGTGCTCGTGCCGGGATTATTTTGGTGTTGGGTTTTAGAGCTATCTCCAATGTGAAAATCTTACATCCAGCAAATGGGAACACTGTTATAGCTGCATTCTTTTAGTTTTTTATAAGCTAACTTTTTAAAAACTCAGTTGAATACCATTTTATGGAAGCCCTTTTCTTTTTGTGTAATTGTGACCATGTTTATCATAATGATGACACTAACACATTAAGCAAATTTTTAAATATGCATTTACATTACTACTCATAAATCAGTTCTCTGTACCTTCTAGCTACTCTTTGAACTTTTTCCTTTTTTCTTTTCCTGTTTCAGGCAGTTGGACTGTATGTTGGGTTTACAGCATATACTCACAGAAAAAACAGATAAACTAAATACAAAAGCTGTAAAGCTAAATGTCACACTACTTTATTTCTTAAAATTCAGAATAACATGCAAGAACCAAAAATCACAGACAATACAGGCTGCTTCCTAAGGTAGCAAAGCACTCACCCCCACCTTGCTTTAAACTCTTTTTTTTAAGTGTCTCTGATCCCATGTTTTGATACAGAAAACCATTGCCTGCAAATGCAAGCAAGACCAGGAAACAGCTGCCCTCCCACCTTCCCGAATCTCACACTCTTACAGTAATAGCTTGCAATTCCAAAACAGTCCTGCAGTCACACCAAAATTAATAAAACAGTTAATCCAGCATTCTTTGGTGCTTCTGCTTAAAAAACAGTCGTTTGGAAGGATGAAGTAGGTTTCTGCTAACAACTGACCACAGTACAAGCATATCCTCTTTAATATATTACTGTTTAACCAGAAGTACAATTGTATAATTGCAGTTATCTGTGTGAATTATTTTATTGTAAATACTATTGTCTACTTTGGTCACATTACTTTAATATTGAAACAGCTGATTATTTAGAGCTTAATATTAGATCACTACAAAAATATGAGTAGAACTAAAGACAAACACGTTTAGTCAGTAGATTGAAGTTTTTTTTAAACGACATATCCCTAACTAGCTTCCTTATATTGATATCATTTAGCCTCTTGTGTATTAATGGAACTCTCTATATATTCTAGGCTCCATTCTGGAGGTTGAATTAGATGCAGGTGAAGCCAGTAGAAGTGGTTAACTCCACATCACCACTTGAGCACCACTAATACTTTTCCTACCTTACGCTTTTTGTAGATAGGATAAAAGTAGACCTACGTACTTGACTGAAATTCCTTCAGAAATCAGAATTGAATCTCCACTTCAGTTTGTCATCCTGCATTATTTTTTGTAGCTGTTCCAATTCATTATGAAGAAACCAAATTCCAGAAACTTTTTACTTGGTCTCCTGGATTCTATCTTTAAACTAAACTGAGTATAAGCACCATGTATCAGTACTTACATCACTGTTGTTACTCTCTTCTTCAGTGGGATTGTATCATGCTAACAGTATGAAAATCACTGCCACTTGAACTTTTTCAGAACCTGACCGTCCAAGATGGACAATACCTTGCAGACTTGGGCGCTCTGCCACAGATTTATCCAATGCGGTGATTAGTCTCTGCCCACTTACTAGGCCTGCTCTGAAAAACTCATGATGTTATCTAATCTTGCCAAACAAAAATTGTTTGAGCACTGCATCAACCAGTGAATGCATCTTTCATGTCTTTATTCAGCAAAACTGTTGTTTTGAGCTGAGAAGCCCAGCTTTTTCTCCTTTTTGTTCTATTGGGACCACTCTGCCTGATCCCTTCTGCTCTTAAGTATGCACAAATAATTTTGTTTGGTATATTTTTTTTAAAATTGCTTGGTTTGAGGGTTTTTTTGTCTTTGAAGGAATTGTATTTTTCAGCTATTTTTATTATGTTTTTCTCAGATACTTTCTAAAACATTTTGGTACTAGGGATGTTAAATATCAGTTAATTGAATAGTCAATTAGCCTCATGAATTTTTATTGGTTACTTGCCTATTCTATAGTAACCTGGGGTCGGACGAGCTCCCTGCCACTCACATGCTGTTGCCTCTATATCAGAGGCAGCAGCTTGAGGGGCCAGGCGGGAGCTGGTCTGTGAGAGGAGCCAGTTTAAAAACCAGCTCCCCTCGCGGCCTGGCTGCCTGTCACCCAGTGCTGGCAGCAGCCTGGGGTAGCAGCAAGGTGGCTGTCCAGGGGAATTCCTGACCCAGTGCAAGCCGAAACTGAGCCGTGCTGTCTGCCCGCATGGCTCCTAATATACTTTAAAGGCAGAGCCGCTGCAGAGGTGGGCCCCAGACCTGGCTCAACCTGGGACTGAGCCAGGTTGTTGGCCAGCTAAACAATTTACTGGCAAGGTGGGCAGGGGGAATGCATGTAGTCTATAGCATTAACCTATAAGCTTTTGCTTATCAGTTAATCGACTACATTGTTACATCCCTATTTGGTACTATGTTTGTTCAATATTCACTAGGTTCTCCAGTCCAAACATCCTAAGGCTGAATAACAGCGGTACCATTTCACCATAAGACAGTGGTTCTTCCTTTGCTTCAGGATGTGTTTTTGAAATATTCTTCTATGTGCCTATCTAATGAGATCAGCGCCAACATTTGGGCAAATGTGAAATGATATATATTGGAACAAAGAGCACAAGTAGCAGCAGATGGAAGATTCTATCTTGGGAAGCAGTGACTTTGAAAGAAGGCTAAGGGTCATGGTGGACAGTCAGCTGAGTATGAACTCTCAATATTCTGCTGTAACTAAAAGGGCTAATGTGATCCTTGGATGTATAAACAGGGGAATCTCCAGAAGGAATAGGGCAATTATATAATCTCTGTATTTGGCTTTGGTACCACTACTACTGGGATTTTGTGTCCAGAATACAAAAAAAACATTGATAAATTGGAGAGCATTTAGAGAAGATCTGCAAGAATGATTAAAGGATTAGAAAAAATATTTTAGTGATAAAGTCAGGGTGCTAAATCCTAAGTTTAACAAAGAGAAAGTTAAGGCGTGATTTGATCAGTGTCAGGCACCCCTAGGAAAAGTAGAAAGTTGGCACCTCTGTCTGCAGCCAAATATAGGTGATATGACATTGGTTCCTGACCTTTTTGCAGAGTCCTTCTGTGTTACCACTCCATGTCAGAAGCTGGGTGGTCCATTTGTCACCTCTCTGTCTCATGCCATCGCCTAATTCCTTTGCCACTGTCTCTTCTTTGAGCTTTCTGTTTTCTATAAAGTCTTCTTTATACTGCTTTGAATCCTCCAGATATATTTTAATTTTCAGTCATTCCCCATTCTGCCCTGTTCTTAGTTTTTGCTTCTCCCTCCCTACTGGCTTCCTCTCTCCATTCCTACTCTCACCAAAATGTTACATGCTGTGTTGGGGTGACATTCTTTCTTGGCTAGAGGATAGGCAGGTGGGAAGACAGCATGTGTTTTTGCTGCTGACCTAATTACTGCAGGAAAGATAATGGAATAATCTTTGGGTAGTGACCTGCTGCCCAGAGTACTGTTTATGTGAGCTGTTAGCATGGCCAGCTGCATTAGGGGAATGCCAGTAGAGCAGGAACTTTTGAATTGCTGTGTGCTGTTTTACCCAGAGTTCCAGTGAGAAACTGGAAGTGGATGCAGAATCAGACAGCTTCCCCTACCACTCTTGTTCCTCTGTTGTACTTTCTGCCCCCAGACTATTCTCTTTCCTCCCAGGGGAGCCAGAGTCGCTGCCATAAAGACATTATGTTGGGCAATGAATCAAGCTGTGTAATTTCCAAGAGTAGTTTGATGGTCTATGTGGGGTTACTGGCCTTTAGAAAGATGAAGTAATTTATTGTCCTTTTTGTTGGCTGAAGTTATTGAAGGCCCATATTCGGCACTACCCTCATCCCTCATGAAATTAAGGCCTGAGACTACATATCAACTAATGGAAACTACAATATGATACATTATCTAAGAGAATGGATCTGTGGATACTTAACCTAGAGAACAATTAAAGAAAAGTCTTGCCATTCCTTTTTCTGTTGCGTAAGAGGATATTGCAATTTGGCATTGCATTTGACCTCTCTTCTTTGGAGATGTACTTGTGAAAAAATAATTCACAGTGCAGAAGCATTACAAGAAAAACAGGAGACTGTTTCTCTGCTGTTTCTAATTCCCTTCCGCCTATCCTTCCCCCCAGAGCCATTACTGAGAGTACTTTCATGTCTGGATTTCTAACACAGTCTGTTGTGTCACTCTGTGCCAAATGGTTCTTTTAAACTCTCATAGGTTGCCCCTGCAGAGGGACTAGTGTCAATCCTAAAGAAGAGAGATGACAGTGAAGGAAAGACACTTGATCAAATCCAGCAGAAAAATCCAAAGAGAAGAGTGAGATTTCAAGAAATGGAAGACACCTTGGATCAAGGTAGTTTGCTCATGTTTAATTTATGTGTTTTCATGGCATACAGATTATATGCATGCTTTCATATGTTAGAGAGGGAAAAAGCAGGAAATAGTTTTAAACAAAGTTTGGGGTAGTCTGCCCTGTTTTGCCTTGCTAGCTATTCTCCAGGTAGCAGTAGTAATGGAGTGTGCTAAAACTTGTTCTTGAAACGGATAGGGTGTGCAAAGGCTTTTGTGCGACAAGTTAATTAACCAGAACAAAATTTTAAATACATTTCTGTTGTAAACCAAACCCGGCTTTGGTTGGAGCTGAAGGACACCTACTGCTCTCTTGCCTGACAGCTTTCACCTATTGGATATTCCGTCATTTAATTTCTAATCCTGGGAAGTGGAAGCGGTAGGCTTTTGTTCAGTAATCTAACCAACATGTAAAAAAAGCAATGCAAAAAACCTGTATCTCCCTCTCTTCCTCCTCTCTTACCCCCCCCCCCCCCCCCCAACATAGCAAACCTTCAGGATGACAAGGCCAGCTCAGAAACCGTATTTGTAGAACTATGAGTTCGGAAGGCTTTAATCTTGTCATCATAATGAACACTGGTGTCAATTTGTTTGCAGTTGAAACATGGTTTAAATTGTGTTTATCGCCTCCCCGTCTATTGATAGGGTAACTATTTGCAGGGAAAATCCTTGCGCTCTACTGTCATAACTAGAATGGGTTTTACTACAGTCCCTCACTCTCATCACAAAACCTTACCACAAAACCTTACCTCACTAAAGTCACTCCACATTTTAGCAGCGTGGGGGCCTGCAACAGGGTGCTACTCACCAGAAACTGTGGAGCCAGCACTCTTGTCACTTCCCCGCTCAATTAAGGGAAAGGAAATGGAACTGATTAGAAGATTGGCAGAGGTGGAACAGCTACCAGCCTGATGAGCGGAGTGGGGAATGGAAGGAGAGAAGAAGGGAAGCAACCAGATGGTGGAAGAGAACTGGGTATCTCTCCCTTCCTGGCTATAAGAAAGAGAAATCTCTAAAGCTGGAACCCCCAGTAATATGTGGTGAGAGGTGGTAGGTTTGGTCTGTGTAAATAACTAGCACTGATGACAGCTGAGCCAGGAGGTGTCTGAGTGATGTTTGGAGCAGAGCAGAGGCAGGACTAAGAGGGCCCTACTATGACCTATTACAGGTCCAAAAAGATCTTTTGCTATTATGTAGCCAAACGTTTCTTATTTTGAGGTCATTGCATCTCCTTATCTGAATGTCATCTGAGATGACGCCTGTTTCATATTTGCCAAAATAATCTAACCAAAAATAGTAGAATGTATATATGTATTTTAGAATGCATGTTACTGATGGGGCAGGAACTTATGCTCTCTCTTCTGGGCTGACCAGTACATTGCATTGTGGTTGTTCCTAGAGATAACTAATCCTGGTTTCTCTACCTCGGAGAAGGGCAGTGCACAGGAATCCTGGGGAGTCAGGGAATTTGTCTGCTCCTTTTCCTGCATGAGGTGGGAATGCCAGGAGTTCTGGCTCCTCTTCCCAAGTATTGCAGGTGTCCTAGACTCCTCCCACAACTAAGAGTGGTTGGGTCTTTGTGGTCCAGAAGGCGGGAGCTTGCAGCCCCTTTGTGGGTTAATGAGAATGAGATTTGGTATGGGGAGATCCCATTTTTCAACCTCTCTTATACTCCTGTTTCAGAGTAACCTGTGGTTGGGACTGTTTCTCTTCTTTGCAGGGGCTTCTTCAGGACCCTGTGATCAGGTTGAAAGATAAGGGGGTGCAGGGGCTAGGTCCGATAGAGGAAGGATCCATCTTCCATTTCTTCGTGATTGTTCGGTACCGAACCGGAATCAGTACCAGGAGTGACTCCTCTTCCGTTAGGAGCTCCCAATGCTTGAGGCCACTACTTGTGTGAAAAGATGCCCCCTCTGCACACAAAGAAAGTTTTGACTGTAGGAGGTTGAGAGTAACTGGGATTTAGCTGACAGTGTATTTGGTTTTCACCATAAACCATAGAGGGGGACCAATAGTCTATGAAAGGCCAGGACCTACAGAATAGCAGGCTTAGTAATTACCATCTTTTATTGCTATTATTCCTCTGAAGATACATCTGGTCTTAATGAGACTATTTGAATTCTGCTTCCCTTAGTATCGCTTCTTCTGTGGATAGTTTAAAAAACACTGTATTGGGAGTGGGGGAGAGAAGAGCCTATGCCAGGGGTGGCCAACCCATTAAACAAAGAGAGCCGAAACAGCAGCAGAAAAAATGCGAAGAGCTGCACCAGAATTGTCGAGGGGGGGGAGGGGAGGAAAGCCTCCCCAGAGTTGTTAAGCAAAAAAAAGAAAGGAGGGGTGGGGAGGGCTTAGGCTTTTTGGCCATAGCAGGTTCCCATCAGCTGCCGCCATCTGTTGGCTGCTATTTTGAATCCCCTCCGGACTGCTCCCCTGCCCCAGTGAGCACAGGAGGCCTTTTGGAGGGGCGTGGAGGAGGCTTCGCGAGCCACAGGGGAGGCTTCACAAGCTGCACTTGTGCAGGGGAAAAGCCGCATGAAGCTCACAAGCTGCGGGTTGGCCACCCCTGGCCTATGCCATTGGAAGCAGAGGCATGACACTAGATTTAAACTGGTGTAAGTGATAAAGGATCTTCTGGTCCCGCAATTGCCACATAGTGTTGAATATTTTATTAGCAAAGGAAACTAGCCAGGCACTGATTTCAACAGATTTTGGAGTAGGCAGCATTATGTAAGGGAAGACTACCAGACAAATAATTAGAAATATAAAAAGAGCTGGTCACTTTTAGCATATTAGATCTTGTGGCTCCCACTATTGTACTAACATTACAATTTAATGTCTGCCAGGAAAGTGTTGGGATAATGTTTCTCTATCAATGTATTTTTAACTTGCGCTAGGAATTTACCAGTGCATTACCCTGTTACAGTGCATTACCCTGTTACAGTTTTGGCATCTTAAGATTTTTAAACGTATAGGTAAGATAAGTTGCATCATGAATCAAAGTATTGTAACACTAATGGGGCCAAATTAATCTCTGCTGTAAATCTGTTGCAAACAATGGAATTGACCATTAGAACAATTTACTGAGGGATGCAGTGGATTCCCTGTCACCTGAAGGCTTTAAATTAAAATTAGATGTGTCTCTTAAAAATATGCTGCAGCTCAACTTGCAAGAATGGGCTTGATGCAGGAACTACTTTGTGCAATTCCATGGCCTGTGTTGTGCAGGAGTTAAGATAAGGTAATTATAATGGTCCCATATGGCTTTCAAATTTATGAGCACAGATAATTACTGTGACCACTTTCTTTCCAGGTGATACTTATGTTGTATGTAAGTTGTTTTGTATGTAAGTTTATAACTTCTGGTTTGCTGATGAACTGTAAATCCTCCAAAAACAGAGTGTTCTTTCATTTTAAGGTCACATTTTATTAGGATTGGTTGGGAATTTTGTGATGAAACATGTTTTTTTTTCCATCCAAAAATGGTAGTACATTGAATCGGGAGCTTTTCATGGGAACATATCAGTTCCAGCAAAAGATCAGTCAGAAAATGTTTTCTCAGGTACAGGATGGAACTTCTGGTTCAAACGAAAGCCCAAAAAAGACAGTGACTCCGCTGATTTATGGCGCTCACCGGGCTGTGGGAGGCCCAGGCTCAAGTCTCTGATGTGTTTGATTTAAAGCTGGGACCTGAACCTGAGTCACCACATCACGGGTGAGGCTATGTCTAGACTGTAGGCTTCTTTCAGAAAAACCTTTCTTTGGAAGAGATCTTCCAAAAAAACTTCTTCTGAAAGAGAATGTCTACACACAAAAGCACATTGAAAAAAGTGATCTGCTTTTTCAAAAGATAGCGTCCATTCAGTGTGGATACTATCTGGCATTTAAGCTGTGATAACAGGTGGCCACTCTGTCCATAGTACTTTTTCCTCTTTCTTCTTCTTTTGAAAGAACTCCCCCTTCCTCGTCCACACACACCTTTTTCCAAAAGAGCTCTTTCCAAAAAAGGCTTCTTCCTCATAGAAAGTGGTTTACCAATGTCGGAAAAAACCCTCTGTTCTTTCAATTTTCTTTTGAAAGAACGCGATTGCACTGTGGACGTAACTCAAGTTTTTTTGGAAAAATGGCCATTTTTCCAAAATAACTTGATAATGTAGACATACCCTGAGCTCTAACCACTGTACTACAGAGTCAGTCTCTCTTTGATCCACTAACTATTTCTGTATACAAACTGGAACAGCTCCAACTGGATAGATTGAGAGGCCCACCCTGAAAGTGCCAATAGTTGGTTGGCACTCATCTGGGATGAGAGAGATTCATCTCTCTCTGTTTCATCTAACAACTTTGACATGTTTTGGTTTTGTCCTGATATGAGATGGGAAAGATTTCAAAAGCTCAAATGCTTATGGGATGAGAGAACCATTTCCTGTCCCGCTCTACCTTTATTACTGGGGGTTATGTTCTCAATTCACAGATGGAATCCCTTAGTGTAACAGGGCATTGCTGGGCCCCCTTCAGTTCTGCCCCTGCTGTGTCTGTAAAGCTGTCAGAAACCTCTGTGTTGGTGCTCTCGCCTGTGGTTTTTATTTGCAATGTCCGTTCCCACCACCTTGTTACTACTGACAGCGTCAGGGTTTTAGCCTCAGAGACCACTAGTCTTGTGGACTGCAGAGAAGAGTTCCAGTCTCTACTCTGTTGGCTCCCTTCTCCTTCCCCTGCCAGCTTTTATGTAGCCTATGCCTAAAAAGCCCAGCATCCTGTCACAGTCAGTAAATATTATCTTACAGTTTTTATCCATTTTTATGGTGATACACTAAAAACAGTAATATAAGTTGAACCTCTCTAGTCCAGTGGTCCCCAACGTGGTGCCCGCGGGCGCCATGGCGCCCGCTGGGCCATTTCTGTGTGTCCGCTGAGTGATCAGGGCCGGCCCTGCCCCCGAGCGTGTGGCACCGCGGCGTGTGCGTGGCCCTGCCCCCGGACGCCCAGTGCGAGCGCGGCCCTGCCCCCAGACGCCCGGCAGCCCTGAAAGGTTGAGGACCACTGTTCTAGTCAGTCCTTCTTGTGGCTGTGGTAGAAACTTTTTCTGTGCCCAGAGTTGTTTTTTTGCCAACATATTTTTCACTAAATAATTCTTATTGTAAATATTTAATAGTTGTTAGACTGTATGCATCTTTTAGGTAATTAAGTACTATTGTACAGTTAGATTCATGAACCAGTACTGTCTTGAGTTCTAGAGATCAAATTTCTGCTGAGATTGTGGGGCAACTATAGACATCACTATAGACCATTGGAACAACCTTGTATTATAAACCAGGGGTGGCCAACCTATGGCTTTTGGGGAAAATTGCGGCTCCCTCACCTGCACCCACACCCACGGCTTTACCAAGGGGCAGTTGTGTGAAAGAGACAAAGCCGTGGAGTCCTGTGCATCCTTCAAAATGTCCACCATTAAAAGGGCTGTGACGGACCTCTTCCCCCTCCCCCCACCGTTTATGAAATGGATTCATAGACATGAATATACATAACTCAAAGGTGGTTTGAGCAAATTATTTCATGTAACCCATCGATCTTCATGTCATGATCTGCAGGTTCTGTTTATCTTACTCTTTTATATGTATTGTGTGTGTGTGTGTGTGTGTGTGTGTGTGTGTGTGTGTGTGTGTGTGTGTGTGTGTGTGTGTAAAATTAGACACATGGAGTGGGGAATACTTTGTGAGTTTCAAATGTGTGAATGAGAGTCATGGAGGGTGTTACCTGCAACTTCTAGATGAGCCACTGTTAAACAATCTTTTGTCCTTAAGTCGGAGCAGTGGTTGGTAGGGAATGGCCACAACTCCTTAGCAAAAGGAGTAGGAAAGCAGAGGCCTGAGTCTTTTGGGCTGGGCTGAACCTGAAGGAAGGGGCCTGAGACCCCAGGGTGGGGACGAGAGCCCTGGTTTAGAGTGGCTGCTGGAAAAGAGGTTTTAGGGTGAGTTCGATTATGTTTGTACTGAGGTGAGGTTTCAATGTAGAATTAGCCAAGCAGTTTTGTTTCTTTTAATTTGTAACCTGCTTTGCTCTGCCTTCTTTCTCTTATTACTACTTAAATCCTACTACTTCAACTTAATAAAACCATTTTTATTTTCTATCAAACCTAGTGTAAGCAATTGTTACCGGGGCGGGGGGGAGAGAACCAGTGTGCACATTCCCCCTTTCATTGCTAAAGGGGGCTTACCTAATTCTTTGGGATTTGATCCCATCTGGGGAGTGCTGTCTCAGGAGGCTGGGCACTAAATTGCACTCTCCTTGGACCTAAAGTGGTTCAGTGTCTGTACTGCTTCTCGGTGGGGGCAGGGACCTCTGCTCAGGAACGAGGCAGGAGCTGGTTCTGCCTAGGGTAGCCAGATGGCTGAAACAAAAATACCGAACACCCTCCCCCCCCCACCAAAAAAAAAACCACCGGGAAAAAAATTTGTTGCAGGAAAAAGGTGGGGGGGAAACAAAGTTGTGGAGCAAAAAGAAAAAAAAAAGAAAAGAAAACAAGAACCTGGATCACTGCTAGGGGTTACCAGGTAGTCATTAAAAAAAAACAAAAAACAAAAAACAAAAAACGGACACAGGAGAGGGTGGAAGGAAGGGACCAGCCAGGAAGGGAGCAGTGCTGGCCGGGAAGGGGGGGCCTGGAAACAGCTAATGGGGGTTGCAACGGGACTGGCTGGAGAAGATGGGGGGGCCAA